GCCACCCATGCTACACATAACTAAAGGAAAACTGACCCATACATTTTAATTTGCTTGAGTATCACTACACTAATACTGTTGGTACTAAAGCAGAGACTGTAAATTTTGACATTTTCTATTCCCAAGTGTGATTTCAGTTTTACTTTCTTTCTGTTCATCTGAAATTAAAGCCATTATTCCATTTAAGTGTTACAGGACATTCTCAGATCAAATTCACCCAGTAGAAGAAAGTTAGGAAGTTATTTGCACTACAATTAACAAACAAAATGTGCCCAAGTTTCTCTTAGACATATGAAAAAAGTGAGTTCTTGGTGTTCCTGGGTTCCTAGAATGAGGATTATGGTACATGTACAGACAGTGTAAATTACTTTTATCAGCTTTTTTTTTTTTTAGTTAAGCTGATAATTGGGATGCATTCTACTCTTGCTGAAGTTTTGATTAATGCAAAGACTGCAAACATTAGCATGACCTTGCCATTCCCTTCTTTCTTCCTTTTCATAAGAGGTTCTTTTCTCCATTAGCAAACTGTGGAATAACATCCCCTTCGCTTACAGCTGTCTGGCACTGTCTCCCAAATGGCAATCACTTAGAACATCTCATCTGTCTCCTGCTCTTTGCTGCTACCTTACTGCATACACATGGGGAAAGGGACAGAAATAACTTAGAGCTGACCAATTTTTCAAGTACACTTTCATAAACCCGAATAAAAACCCTAATATTTTTCCTCTAACTCTTAAGAGAAAGTACTGTGTATTATCAAGGTCATTATTAATACTGCAGCTGCTGGAAAGACATTTTACTACAAAGCAAAGGAGGGAAAGGTGGAAGAAACACAAATAGATGTTGTGCTACTTAGTCCTCCCTTTTTATTGTACTGGATGAGTGACCACAGTTTATATGACTGCTGGTGGGCATCCAGTTGCAAATTAGCTATAGCAGATAAGTGAAAAGACTATTAATGGCAAAAATGGAAGCTGAAAAATCACAGGAGGAGGTCTATTTCAAGGTACAGTCTTGTTTTATAACTTACAAATTTTGATTTAGTCATATATATTTGCTCTTAATGTAATTCTTGATGTCCAAGAGCAGTAGCAAAGCCTTTTAACAGACTGCAAAAATGAGCTGAACAAAGGCAATCTGAATGCAAAGGCTGTGCATGTGGGAGCTGGCTGCAGTACTGTGGCTCTACTAGAGTAACCATCCAATAATGAAGTGCCTTCAGCCAAATTCAATTGGCTTTCCAGATATGAGTCAATTAAATAAGCAACACTCAGGAGTAAAGGTGCTGTAAAGGAACAAGGGGATGATGGCTAAACATATTATCAACTCTTAAAGGCTCTCTCTGAGCAACCTAGATGGAAATTCTTCATGGGCTGACTTAAGGATGAAATGTGTGTTTGTGAGTAACGCAGATTTCATTACGAAAATACTTGAAAACAGACACTGGTTTTTCTCCTTAAAGAGACAACAGCACGATATACCACTAGCATGTCAGAATGCTAGGGAATAGAGAAATCAAGTGTCTGCCCAAAGTGCATAAAAGAAATCAGTGCAAGAACCAAGTACAGAATTAGTCTCTTGGCAATTTCAGCTGCCACCTTTAAATCAGCTCATCTACCCTTTTTGTTCTATTTTTTTCCCCTAAGGATTAAAAGGACTTCAGTTTCTAGTGTGGTCAGCCTGGTACATTTCACAGCACTAATTATCACTTTAAAAAAGAAAAACACAATGTAGAAAAACAGAGTAGATTTTCCGCATTAAGAGTAATTGGCACCATCAGTGAAAAGTCAGCACTTACACTGTAATGGTCAATTCAGCAAACACATGTCTAAGTGCCAAACCACAAGCACTAACAATTCTGTAAACTCAGTTAATTGCTTCTTTTAGGGTTGAGATCAGACTTATTTTTATCACTGAATTAAACTTCCACATTAAAAATAACTTAGATAATTTCTGTTCCTTAAAATTTTATAGATGAGTCGTAGGCTGAAAGACAAACATTTTTTAAGTACATATTGAAAAGCAAACAATGTAACAGCAACTGTACATTGTGCACAGATATTCTGGGCACAAGCTCTACTCTGCTTCACTGAAATAACTTCAAATCTGGTACAATTCAGCAGAATCCACCCATCATCTCCAGTTTATTTTCTTGATGGAGATTTACTGCAGCAAGCCAAAATCCTTCAGATCTTCCTCAGAAAATTATTTTCCATTTATGAAAAATGTGCCCTTTTTTTTCTGACTGGAAATTTATACTTGTAACTATATTTTACTTGAAATTGCTGTTTCCAGATAATAGCTTTACACTTACTAATATAGTTAAAGCAAATGCTGCCAGACCTTCTCCTGCCTTTTGTTCTCCCCCTATCCATAAAGCAGCCTTCTTCATTCCCACGTAAATGGTATTGGACTTGTATTCCCTATGCAAAACAAAGGAAAAAATTGCACTACAAAATGTGACCTTTTTTTTCTAAATACAGTAGTGCCACTTCCTTCTCACTAGTTCTTTGTTTTACTAAAGAACAAGTTGAGTGAACGAGGTAGTTGTTTTCACCCTGGAGAACAAAAGGCTCAGGGGGGACTTCACAGCATCTAAAAGGAGGACAGAGGCTCTCTTCATGAAGAGCTACATGGAATGGAAAAGGGGCAACAGGTAGAAGTTGCATGGGGAGAGGCTTCATCTTGATATAAGAATTTTTTTAGAGTGAGAACTATCAATCACTGGAACAATCTCTCCAGGGACATGCTAGAGTTCCCATCACTGGAGGTGTTCAAGATGCGACTGGACAGGGTGCTAGTTAATCTCATCTAGGCTCCGTTTCCCATGAAAACTTGGACCAGATGATCTTCTGAGGTCCCTTCTAACCTGGGCTTTTCTGTGATTCAGTGAATCTAACTGTCTACTTACCCCTTATATCACCATGTGCCTGCCTTTCTCGCAAGAGTAATTCACAGCACTGGTATGTGAGGTGTGCAAATAGGCCTTAAATTTTTCTGGACAGAGTAGAATACACTCTTAAAATATGTGAACCAAGGTCTACTTTATGTTGCTCTTACAGGTTGCTAATATCAGAATTAGATGGAGATGATAACATTCAGTGCAAACACAGGCAGTATTTATTTCTGTATCACAAAATTGCATAGCTTCGCAAGAGCTTTGTCACAGGACCCTACGGGGAAGTTTTAAAAGACAGCCATAGTAAAACCCTGACACATTGGTGAAAAGCAGACAGAAGATACTGGAAATCCAAAACATGGTGACAACAATTCACAGAAATGTAGGGGTTTTCCACTGGAAATTCTAGATTATCTCGTCTAGAATTGGAACAAAAAGTCACACACTTAAAAGATTTTACAAACCAGAATATTTTCAGAAGCTCTGTCATGTGAATAGTTCTTGCTCACCATCTGTCACGTTCACCGCTATCTGGCAATTCCAGCACTACCCAAAGGCAGCATTTAGGGTGATTTGCTTTCTGAAGATTTGCATCCAGACAGCTGACTTTGGACTAGGACTGACATGCATAAGACATTTTGTCATTGTGGATAGTTTTTTCCACCCATGCAATCTGAGAAGATAAAATCCATCTTAAATTTAATTACTGTGGTGTTCTGGTTACACATGTTAGTAGCTTGTGTGTTTGTTTAATTTTCATTGGATACCAACATAAGGAACCATGTTTTTCATTTAGTTTAAGGTTTCTTCTATTCCAAATTATGCAACAACCAGACAAACTGAATGACAGCCTATCCCAGTACTGCAGTTCTGGTTTGACAAATAAAGGTTAAGCACCCATATCAAATAAACATAGAATGGCAATCTTTCAAACTGATAAATATGGATAGGTGAATGTTTTGTAGCTGACAACTGAGAAACACAAAATTACACATAGGTATCTTGCAACCTCCACTTTATCTTCAGGAAGCAAACATATGACACTCTGTAAAGTTACATAAAACTGGAAGCAATTAATAATCTCTTTCATGTAACATATCAATACATTGTGAACTGACTACTTCCAAATATCGAATTATGTATTTAGAATAGTTCCTTTAAAATTGTAATTTTAAAGACAGTGATCTTACTTTTTGCTGGAATTCCACAATGACCATACTTTCATTTCTAATACGACAGAAACCCACAGCTTTCAAATTATAAAACAAAAACAAAACCAAAACCCCGTAAATTCCTTTTCCAAAAGTCTGAAATGGAGAGAGGAGAAATAAGTATTTTTGGTCATGCTTTAAAGAAGGAAGATTATCTTTGCCCTAACCAAAAGATAATAGGAACTTCCATAGAATATTTTATTTCTGCAATTCAGCATTTTCTACTAGAAATCATTCCTTTCCAGAAAATTTCAGATCATATAACAAGATTCCTGTAAATCAGGGAAGTAAATATCAGATATGCACCAAACTGCATTTGCTGCTGGCTGCACAAGAAACCTGTGGCAGAGCTTGGAACCAAAGCTTTACTTCCACATTCCAAACCAGCTGATCAAGCAATGAACTGTTCTTCCTCACCGCACTGGTTTTATTTACAGTTCACTTTCTGGTTAAGATGCTAGAAAAGTGTCCAAACTTAAGAATACAAATGCAGTTTTCGGTATCAGTACAAGAGCATATTTTATTAATTCTATTTATTTTTTATATTTTGAAAAATTCTGTTAAGGAAACAGTACATGTTTAATGAACTAATTAGCATGACACTGAGTAAATTCTTCATGGAGTAGAACTTAAACTAATTTTCTACTAATTAAAGCACCTATCATTTTCATTCTTGGCCACCATCTTGATTCCTGGCACCTGCTTGAATAAAAAGGATAACCAAAATCCTCAGATTCTTAGCAAATGTTTAAAAGGCTCCCTGTTTTGCCATTGAAATTATAATGGTCAAATGCTGCCTGGCCACCCACACTGCAACAGAAGACAAGGTCAGGTCCAATCATTTAAAAAGACAAACTAGAATTTTCAGACATGAAAAAAAGAGAAATTACCTGGGTCTTCTATAGATAAGTTCTTCGTTAACCATTGAACAATGTCTGAACCTAAGAAGAAAACAGGCATTTTTAGATTAGTAAGTTTTCTCTTCCTGTTCTTCAGTTCCAGAGGCCAATAAATATTGTTCTACCACATGAAAGAGATCTACATTTTTTGCTCATTTGTCTAGAAAAAAACTAAGCAATTCTATCTTTTTTTGTTTCTTTTTTTTTTTTTTAGTTTAGTCGAGACTTGTAAAATGTAATAGAAGTGCACTAAGGGTATAATAGCCTGCATTTCAAGAAGTACATTCCTGCAATATTTACATAGAAAAACAAACACTTTATTAAGTTAATACTACGTTTTTCCACCTTCCAAATTTGTTTACAGATGAAACCTAGAAAACGTAATTGAAACACACATTGTGATTACGCAATCTATGTGGAGTACATGCTGCAGGCCACGCTGGAGACTTAAAAACCTTCTTGGGACTATTACATGGCATTATGAGCTCCTCTGAGTTTGTGTTCAACTTTGCCTTCTGATTTTATTATCTTTAACTATCACTTCTGCTGTAGTGACTTTCAACCCATTCCACTGGCTACCAGTGAAAGCATATCCAGTTACCTAAATGTGTAACACCAATGTTTCAAACTCTGCCTCATGGCTAAGCTCTTGACAGTATTCATTTTTCCCCTGGTGCTAAAGCTCTTTCCTTACCACTCCAGTCTCTCTTCTTCTTCTGTATCCCTTCATTTACTGCCTATCCATTTCTATTTAATTTCCTGTCCTTTTTCAAGGTCCTATGTTATTTCTCACCTCTTAACACCTTCAATACCAGATTCCCTGCTGTCTTTTGCACTGAGTATCCTTCCAACCCCAACTCTTAATTTCTAACATGCTCTGCTCCTCTTGGCCTTGCACTTCCTATCACACTTTGCACTCTATGTGCCAAGTCACAAGCTGAAGTCAGTCTTGGTTTTCAGACTGACAGCTACAGTTGACCTTCACATACTGTGAGCATGAATTACAAAGTAAATTATGAAGCAGTTCTGCAGCCAAAAAGACAAAACATATTCATGATTTAAGCAACTTTAAATAACCAAATTGGCTTAAGGGGGAAATATTGAAACACTGGGGTGTGTGTGTGTGTGTGTATGTGCATGTTCTCTGTGTTTCATGACAGTTGTATCATGCCTCCAGTTCAGACATTCCATGTAACAGAGAGACATGTCACAAAATAGCTCCTTATAGAACCAATATTTAAGTTGCTCATCCATTTCTCAACAGACATAATAACATATTTCTTTTAGAAACCTTAAATTTAAAAAGATAATAAAAATCCACACAATCTACACAAATATAAAAAAAAAATCAAGCAATAAAATTCATGAATTGATGATAATACATAACATTAGAACGTGGAGGATATTCCCCTGTCACTCCCTAGGTTCAGATTTCTCCCTGTGCTTCCCATAGTGCATAATTTCCTTTGGTCTTCCTAAGGAAATTAATATGATATTTTTAAAAAGCATTTCAGAGACAAAAGAAAATATATTTCTCCTTACTTTTTAAATTTTAAGATATATAATTTTGTAGCTTTTATTACACTTAGTGAATAGCTTCATAATGCATTTTATAAAGCCTACTTGATTATATCATAACTTTTCATGTGTGTATGCATTACTAAATTGATTACATAGCAATGAAAACTGTGGAGATTTTACAACCATGTCCAGAGCAGAGATTTTCATGACTTTGTTACAAGTCTAAATTTTGATAGATGTTAAACTCCAGTGGCACCATTTCTTACAGCATTTACTCAGAATTATTCCTTAAATGAGGCAATTTACCTTTGCATGCTGTTGGATGCATACAAAATGTTTCAGACAGATATTCCTACCTCAAAATATTCTATTTTTATGCATTTGTGTAAATACAACTTCTGTCCTTTATTTATACATATGAACTTAATGAGGTTGACACTGAAGGAAGAACTTCATAGACATCAATGACACAGTTCCAAACCTAGCTATATTTTCATGTCAGGTGACTAGAGAAGTTGGTCAGCCCTATATCTTTTCCTAAATCCTCCAAGGTCAGGGACAATAAGTAATTAGTAAAACAACATGACATTTTGAATATTGATTCTTAACACTGGCTTCCTTCAGATCTCTCAGGTACCATATGGGAAGAAATTTTCTATTCTTTTTATCTCACCTTCAAATACTTCTTTCCCCTTTACCTCTTTTGAAAATTTTCCTACAACGACACACCATATTCCTCAGTGCCCAGCTCCTGGCATCACATTTGTGTGCGTGGTCTACACATCAGAAATTTCACCTCCATATGTGATATTGTCTTCTGTCTTATTATAAATAATAGTGGGAACTGGGATTTCTTGACAATTGCATCATCTGATTCAGAAAGACCATTACTGCTCTATTCACATTTTACACTGAAGCCATTCCCCTGGTACCCGAAAGCCTGAACAGCAGTTTAAGCCAGCTATCACATTCGAACATTCCGATGATTTCAGCTGCATGACTTCAATGACAAAATCCCAGATGAATAAATATTAACATGAACACTCTCCTTCTAGTGTGAAGGCCATTCAAGTAAAACAAAGTTGCAAGTAATTTGTCATATCACAAGTGAGAAATTTATCAGTTCATACTCATTCCTTTGGGAGATCTTGTGGACAACTCTAGTCCTAAAAAGAATAACAAAGGTATTATCTTGTATAGTTCCTGTGTGGTTTTTTAGCTGCTAATTTTAACGTCTAATAAACAAAAAGATTTCATTCAATCATTCCTGTGCCCTTATCTAATGTTCATTACTTATGCAAATGGGTTTCTAAATCCAAACCGTTACTATAATTTCTTATGTCAGGAAAAGAACAAGGCAGCAAAACAGGTGAAAGTTTACATTAAAACAATATTCCCTCTGAGACCTAGCTTTGAAAATCTGATGACCAGTAAATTCACGTCATTTTTCATACACCACACTTCACATCTACAGGAATTATGATCCAAGAATTAGGATGAAAAATATTACAGACTTCAATATTTGTAAACAAGAACTAATTCTTATGGGATAAAGCATCTTTAACCTTCAAACCTGAATCTGTCTTATTGCCAGGAATCTACCAAAAAGACAAGTTAGTCCAATGATATAAATTTTATGGAAGCCACTACCTTGGTATTGGACTCTCCTGAAAAGTAAAATTTCAACAAACTAAAATAGAAAATGTTTGCCATGCCAGAAAGGTACTCAGGTTTTGTATACCGTTTAATGTGCCAGTCACTGGTAATGTGTCATAACAAAACCCCAGTAATAACTTTTTGAAAGTAGATTCTCAAGCTAAGTTCTCCAAGTTCTCCCCTTCCAGGGGGCAGCTAAAAGGCAAGCTGGCTATTAGATCTGTAAGGTGCAGAAGACTGTAGTTAAATTGCCAACTGAATTTTGAAATCCCAGAAGAACCCTCAATTGTCATGCCAATTTCTACAGCAAATAAAACTGGACAAGGCAAAGCAATCATTTGTAATAATAAATTAAAGCTAGTGCAAGCAGAAAACATTCAAAAAAAGGTTTTTTTAGACTCAGACTGAGAGCCAACAGTGAGATTCCTTAAATGCCAGCACCTATCCAGATAAAGGTTCACAAGATCTTACTCAAGTCCAAAAATGAGAGACTTTCAACTTCTTTAAAGAAAGAGGAACAAATATATCCACATTCATATACAGATAAAAAAGACTCAAGCATGTTCTTTGTAAAAAGCACTTGATGAAAACTCCAAAAGTGATTAATTTTAAATGAAATGGTCCAAAAATAGCAGTTGCTGAAGTCATCATAGCATCTTAAGAAAATATTTTTGAGGAAAGTGTGCTCTCTGAACTCTGCAATGATAAAGGTCATAAAGGCCAGTGCAATGCTAAGGTCAGCCTTCAGGAACAAAACCCTTATTTTAAACAAGTCTTTACAGAGTGCATTTCAAAAAGGTGTTGATTCTGAAGTATAGAAAATTTCACATGAATTATAGATCCATTCTTTGCTATGCATAGATGCAATGAGCCATGTAAGCCTTGACCTGACAACAAAAAGATATGATAGCAGTTCTGCAAAAGAAAATAAAAAATCAAAATACTCGCTTTTTAAAAATTCAAAAACATATTTAGCTGAAAAAGATTCAAGCTACAGGAAAGTATATTTTATTAATCAGAATCACAAACCATGAGACCACTGAGAAAATTAACTCAATTATTTATTTCATAAGGAGACAGGTTCAACCTTGCAAAAAAATACTCTTTTACTTCTATAATATTTTGGTTTAGTAACTAAAACATATTCTTTTTTTTTTTTTACTTGTACACCTCAGAGTATTTACAGATGATGAAGAAAGACAGGGACACAGGAAACTCCCCTGCATTACTGATACCAAGAGAGAGGGGTTTGCTGTTGATAATCCATCAAACACTTTATCTTCATCAAGACTTTTGCTGTCTGAACTGTGAAGAGCGACATATCCATCATGTTATTTGTCCTGTGCTGTAAAAGCTGGGAAGCTGGGTGGCTGCTTGTTTGCTGAAAGGCAGCAGCAGATCATTTGGGAGCTTCCTCAAGGGAGCCCATTGGTCAGTTGGGTCACCTTAAGAGCTTTACCACCACCCGGTCTTGAGAACCTGGAGAATTTTATGCAGGGCAACTCACAGTAGGGAAAACTTAATAAACATTACTCAAGAAAGTACCAGTTTCTAAATTTAAGACAAGAAGACTGTTACTAAATTAGAATGGAAAGAGCACTGTATTTCCATTGTTTCTTTTTTTTTTTCATTGGGAAAGGAGGGAATTGTGTCTTTTTGACTTCCCTCTTCAACACCATTGCTTTGTCACACTACTTCATGGCCATACACCAGGAAATTAAATTTAGTTAGTGATACACACTTCAAAATCCTTGGTCATGAGTGTCAGAAAAAAATATAATGTGCAATTTCATTTCTCACCACTGATTCAGACATTGGAAACACAGAAACTGGATCAGATGAGCAGGGAGATTGTAGAGGCTGGT